GGGGGGGAGAGATGGAGGTCGGCCCTGCTCGGAGGGGTGCGCTGCGGGGTTGCGCTACGCTCGGCCGGAGCACGCCCGTTGAGCCCGTATAGGCGCGGCGCAGGGATATGAGCAAGGCCAAGACCTCAGCCGGCGCCAGATTTGAATTTCTGAAAGGAAGGGGGTAAAGGAGAAGGGCGAAAAGAAATAGAGCAGAATTAACAATACAAATATCTTAATATTTCACGTACAAAGGATTTTTGTTAACAATTCCTGTGGACAGTGAACAATTTCTGATGAATTCCCATCAACTTAAGAGAATCTGATCCATGAGTGTCGCCATAAAGCGAACATGAAAATAGAACTAAGAATGAGCTGAGCCCAAGATTTACATTAAAACATTTTTTTTACTTTTTGGCAACTTGGTTTAACAATAATACCCACCCTAGCTGGCTTCAAGTTTGAAAAGGAAAAGAACATAAAATAAGCATTAAAACGGTCTGAAACAAAGGATCCTAAAACAAAAGCTTTCCATGAAAACAAACACAAAATATTTCTAAAAGAAATGAATGGCATGTATTTTCTTCTCAAAACAAATCGTCATGATAATGAGATACCTTGTAATCACATTCTATGAAATAACAAAAAAAAAAAATGATAAAAAAACACTTTGAAATGATTCAGTTTGATAACACCAAACCTTTTATGAAGGAAAAAAAAAGAAAAAACACATTTCATTTTAAGTCCACATTCCAAAAGAAGTGTCTCACTCAAAATTGGAGGCACTCCTTTGGACTGATTTTATCATCATGGTCTCAAAATCACAGCATAAGAATACTCATCTCACGGTTCAGACTTTTAGTTGTTCTCTGTTGTAAAGTTGTTTTTTTTTTTTTTTTAATTGTTTTTAAAATGTAACTCATACTCCAACGTTGCCACATTAAAACTAAGGATCAGTTTAAAATTGGCTTTTTCTTGAGGTTAAGAGAAAGTTCCATAATAATGATATAAGATTGATCATTCCAGTATTAGCAACAATTTATAAAGAATATTGTTCAGAATCTACACTAACAGCAGATTACAGGGAAACACAGTACTATTCCAAACATCAATTAGGAAAAGTATAAAGACCAGAGAAACAGAATGAACTTTATGTAAAATAAGGTAAAGTAATAAAAACGCTTTCCAGACAAATAGCAATATTCGTCAAAAGGGGAAAAATAGTTTCATAAATCACATAGGTACAATTTCATCATTCTATTGAGCTGCAACCCAAAAATATTGATTGCAATAATACTTACAAATGTTTCACAAGAAACAACTCTTTACTTATTGTAGGACTGCCCATAGAGCACAAAGCACACATATTTCATAACCACATACTATCCAAAAATTTAATACTTATCTGAAAGAGCTAAAATTTCATTGCCCAGCTCAGGATAGTTCCTAGAAGAATGTGTTCAAGCAGAAAATCTCTTGCTTTCATACAAGCGTATACCCTTTACACGTTTTTTCAAAACCTCCTAAAACCCCTGCTGGAAAAAGAGGAACCCTTTACAACAAGGGGAAAAGAAATAAATATATCCTTCAAATCCTTTCTAGCTGGAGTCTTCTTATCACCCTCATTATGGAATATTAAAAATAATAATTAACCAACCATTCAGAGTGGTACAGTAGTCAGTCCCAACTAAAATAGTACATGGTGAAAAAAAAATAAAGCATCCTGGCCCACATCCGACTAGAGCTGGGGATAACATAGCATTCACAAGCCTAGCACACCCATGATTAAATTAAAACCATCAAAACAACCTAAAGACAACCATTTGTTGATAGCAAGGAAGATGCTTAACATCACTGATAGAAATATCATGCTATAAGATCCTCCTTCTGCACATTTGATCTTAAGTGGTATTGGATTATAATGCAGTTACGATGCACAAGAAAATAACAAGAAGAATTTTGCTAAAGTGAGGGATTTCTTGTTTATAATTTTTTTAGGGTCTTTGGAATAATGCCTAACAAAAGAATACTTCACAAGTACATAAGGATCATGAACAACAATGAAGAAGCAGAACATTCATAGGCATGTAGGAACTGTGCTGCACCAAACTGAGAGCATACTTCTAAAATGAGAAAAAGTAACTAATGCTTCAGTGGTTAAAAGAGTCAATTGTTCCAGCTTAGCATAAACTGTCCAGTACTCTTCTTCGAAGACAGCATTATAAAAACTAGAACAATTAGGAGGTAGTCCTCAGGATCGTGGAGGTTCAACATCAAAATCTAAAACTAAAACTTTTGTTTCTTCAGTCCCATTGCGGCTTCCTACCGCACAAACTAGCTTAGTTTCACTTGCTCGGATTCGCCAGACGACTCCCCCAGCTCCACCACTTTCCAATGCCACTAGGTTACGAACAAATTCACCTAAAAATGTATGACATTCATAAGTTAGTAGAAATAAAATATTGTTGCACATTAAAATTATTTAAAAAAGAAAAACTTTACTCACCAGTCTTAACATCCCAGAGTTTCACTGTGCCATCATCTGATGAGGTAATTACAAAACGGCTATTGAACTGAAGGCAGGTAACAGCAGACTGATGTTTATTAGGACCTGCAAGAGATAGATCACAGATGTAAGACCTCAGAATGAACAAGTTGATATTACTGAAGAACCTAACAGATAGCAAGTATTACCTGATAGAGTTTGAAGGCATTGCCCACTGACAATGTCCCATACTTTAACAGTGGAATCAGCATTACCAGACACAAGTATATTATTCCGCAACTCCATTCCAGATGTTAAAGACTGATGGCCCATCAAGGTGTGTCTGCAGGCACCTGTTTCAACTTCCCACACTCTTATACTTGTATCCAGTGATCCACTGACTACATGAACCCCATCGAACTAGAAGTAAAAAGGACACATGTATTTTTACATGAATATCATAAAAAGATAATCAACATCACTTAGTTTTGCAACATACCTGTAATGAATACACCCTGTTTGTATGACCCTCTAATGTGTACAGACACTCTTCCCTTTCAGGATCCCAGACTTTAACCATATGATCATAGGCACCACTGACAACAAGCCGTCCATCATATTGAACACACCGGACAGCAGCCATATGCCCTACAAGCATGTGCAGGCATTCTCCAGCTTCAATATCCCAAACACGTAGTGTTGCATCTCGAGAACCACTCACTACCCTGCGATTTAAATTACCATAAAAATGATCAGTTTACCATGTACATTGGTTGATTTAGGTCAACACTAATCATAAAAAATGAGAAAGATCTTTACTTTTTGCCATGAAGGTGCATGCACCTCACTGTTGAGGTATGGCCGTATAGTGTATGAAGGCAACATCCTGAGTCAGCATCCCACACTTTCAGTGTTCGGTCGGTGCTTCCCGAGATGATGATGTTTCCAGACATCTGAGAAGACCACACGCCACCAGTATGGCCAACAAGAGTCCTCACACACTGTAAAAGAATAACCGCTAATGTCAGCAGACATGTGCAACAGACACATATCAAAACCTAGTACCACGTGCAAAAACCTACCCTTCCTGTAGTAAGAGACCAAACTTTTAGAGTATTGTCATCAGAGCCACTAACAATTCGGTTGCCCGAGAACTGAAGGCAAGTAATTACGTGGTCATCATGGCCCTTTAATTCTTTGGGGGTCCGAATCGGTTTTGTTCTCCAGTTCATCTCAATTGCATGTTGACGCATGTACTCAGCCTGGAAACACAAGAATTAGTTAACACTTTCCATGCTGACGGATCCAGATCTGTATTATTAAGGGCTCAATGTGAAGTCAGAATGAACAGGGTAGTTAAGGAAGTCAGAGATAAGGGTAAATGATAACTCAAAATTTCCACCAATATGAACCTTCTTGTGGCAAATTTTTAGGCATATGCATCTGATTGATAGGCATGCATGATATATCTCTGTTCATTGTAAAATACGATGTTTGCGATTAAACTTTGCAAGACGTTCACCCATTCCCAACCAACACAATCAACTTATCGAGAATCACTTTTTTGACATGGAACACACATGACAACACAGAGAATGGCTCCTACCATCCACCACTCTAAAACTGACAAAAGCGTACACATTCATTTGGCTTACTGACATTTGAACATTCATTCTTAAGCAGCAAGCTTGCAGCATTTGTGACTAAAGGTACCTCTCCCTCCTCCTCTTCAACCTTTGACGACAGGGACATAATATCTGATATGACTTTAATTCCTACCCTCTAAAAATATGTAAAACTTTTGAGGGCAAGTTCCATCACATGAACATGATGGTTAACCAATCATTTGATCTTTCGTTCAAAAGCTTTTAAAGTGAGAAGTGGATCACGGGCCTGTCTTAGATAGCGACGGCATAGCGGCGTAGTACTGTAGGAGACGGCCTTGACAGCGCCGGGCGACGTCAACGGGAGGCGCGGGCGGTGGCAGCCAAGCAAATGACTGTCCTCGGTACGACGTATCATGAACAAAATCCAACCCAACTAAACTTCTTGGATATTAAGCAGAAATTTTCACTTTGGATGAAACCCAAACTGTTTGCCACAATTTTCATCCATCGAGCATGTATAAACGCTGACCTATAGAGACTGGCTTTTCATCCATCCACTTAAGCACTGTAGAATATATAATTGGTACGTAGAATTGTGGTGCAAAATGTACAGAAGACAATTTTGATAAAGAAACCACATTATGTTAGGTGTTATTCAAAAACTGTCATCATTTTTCAAAATAATGAATATTCTGAAGATAATTGCTACTCTCATCTTAACCGCTATACCCTTGTTGGTAAATATATTTTTTCCCTTGTAATCCAGGTGTTGGACTTATAGAACCCAACAACATTTCTGTACATTCCCTAAACACACTCAATATTAATGAGACAACTGAAACCTCTTCAGATCCCTGGTCCTGAAGTCTCACTTAGCTAAGCAATAACACCCGGAGCAGGGGAAGAGTTAATGTTAATACTTCAGGTCAAAACTTACTTTCCATGGTGAAATATTGATCCCAATTTTCTTGCGCCGCTGACTTGCCTCACGGAGCTCTTTGATGCCCTCTGCTCGACACTTCTCTCTCCACAAAAGATTATCGTCAGCCAGGAACCGCCAATTTCGGCAGGTTTGAGCAGCACGTAAGAGATCTTTGGGTTCAAGGAAGCTCAGTACATACAAAGCCAACTGTAAAATAAGAAAGATTCTTGAAGTATATGCATGAGAAATTTCTCGATCAACACTTTAGCTGGAATATGCCCATACCTCTTTTGGTAACAAGGATATGAAATCTCGTTGAAATTGTGGTTCAATTACTTCCAACATATGCCTAACCTGCATTGGCTCACACGATTCAATTAGTCGGTCAATAGCCATGAGCCTCTCTGAATTCCGCCAGTGCTAAATTTGAAAAAATATAGAAAGTTAAATA